ACGAGTTACTACCCTCCTCCGGCGGACATCACCTAAATATCAGGTCGTAATACCAATCTCAGTCAGTAAAAAGCCATGTATTGCCTAATGAGAATATCGCTGTAATTATATTTCTTATTTCTCATTTATTGTCTTTGGTAAAACTGTGTCTGTGTCGCAATAATGATTCACGCACATTGCGTTGTCGTTAGTTCGCGAGTTGAATTACCACGACTTAATTAATAACACCTACACAACGTCCATTCAAGCAGTGAATGCTTACCACCCACGTGGGCCACGCTAGTGTATATACATGCAAACACGACGTGTGTACGATCATCGACAAATTTACGATGATAATAGTCACTCGGACAATAGCGAGCTATCGCGAACAAGTCACTGTGTACTACACGCTAACTGTTTCACCGTATCATAATGAAGCAACGATGGGGGTGCTGGTAGCGCGATAATATGCATTTATCGACCCCATCTCTCAAATCAACCTCTTATTGGCTGGATTATTAATTGTATAAATTGCATTTTTCCTAATAATCGCGCTCTGTTAGCGATGGGACGTTTCGCGACGTAAAAATGAGACACATGCGGATGAAAGCAATGTCGTTCAATCGACAACTGTGTTTTGTTATGCAGACGTTCATCGTCTATAATACAGCCACATCTTTCAAAACCATAATCTGCATCGACCAACGCTTTAAATAGCCACTGTGACACCAAATTACTCCACCAAAGCGCTTTGTCGCTAGAGGGCGCAAAATAATAAAGGCGTAATGACACCAGTGATCCAACAACGTACATTAAACAAAAATTTGATAAACCATACTTGCAAAAACATTATGATTAGATATTAAATGAAAACATTGTGATTAATGGCGGCAATAATGTGCACACGTAACAAAGGTTGGAGTCGCGTTTGAGTTCAATTATTTCTGTTCAAACTGCAGTAGATTGAAAGTACAGCGGTATAACTTATATATCGGTAGCATTCGGACGTCTTTTAATGATAACTTTAATTGTTTTCAACGAGCATTTGATATTCACAGCGCTCAAAGGTTCAAGTTGAATAACTTGCATGGCGATTAAATCCATGTTCATGTCACCATCTCTACTCGTCGCGTACTGCACAAACAGAATGATAAACTTTGAAACAAGCATGGGAAGCGGAAGGGGTGTGCACGTGCACAATCCGGGTAATCGTGTTTTAGAAACTTTATCAGTTTGTCTATCTAGTTCTGAGCCGGGTAACAAAAACACACTGTTACTGTTAACTAATAATATCACCGGTCATCATTTCTCAGTACTCCATTGATTACTTGGCATAACTATTTTTCATAATCTTTGCCACAAGCATGCTGATTATCCACAATTCCCTAACGAATGTTTGGCGAGATTTAACGCAGCACGTTTCATTTGCCTTCCCTCTGGACTCGTCGCAGCTCACGACGGTTCAGAACG